AGTGCCCGGAGGAGCGCGCCCTAAAGCTCTTAAGGGCATCGCCCTGGCGCGCTTACTAACTTCAAGTAGTACGCTCGGCACTGTCGGCAGCGCTCCACATGGCGTACTCTGGCCGTGTCATGACACACATGGCAGAATCCGGAGTCCAGGGGGGGGGGGGCACATGGAGGAGGACGTAGGGGAGGATCCCGAGATGCCATTTGGCGGCGGCGGCGTTTGAGTGGTTGTCGTTGAGACACTTTCAGAAGTCACACGACATGCAGATACCGTACAGCAGCATCAAGTTAGACCATCATCTGGGCTTTTTCGCGCCCTGAGCAAGAATAAATCAACAGTACATGTATATACCGTTGTGACTACTAGGATTAGGACTGTTTATTCATTCTTGCAAGCATGCTCAGGGCACGAAAAACCCCACTGGCAGATGAATGATAGTATCTACTAGTAAGCTTGCTGCACCGTACGGAATCTACATGTCGTGTCTCAGTGTGACACTGGCACACTGGTTTAACCTCAAAGTTGGCAAGAAAGCATCTTGCCATTGGCATGGCAGTGCAGTCACGGTGCCGGGTGGAGGAGAGAATTATTTGGGGCAATCCCTGGATACTAAAAGGCACCACAGGACATTAATGCAATGATCAAGTTGAAGATTGCACAACCATTTGACCGAACATCAACAGTTCGCTTCAGCTTGCTCTGTGGATGATGGTGCAATCTTCAAACTTCAAATTGGACAAACTTGACTCGAGACGCTACTGTAATTGAAGTAAAACTTCAAGTTGAAGTTTAACATCAACTGTCACACTCAGTATTGACCATCATCTTCAATTTGAAGTTTGACGGTTGCATCACCGTCCGCACAGCATCCTGAAGCGAACTGTTGCTGTTCAGTCAAATGATTGTGCAATCTTCAACTCGATCATTGCATTAATGTCCTGTGGTGCCTTTTAGTATCCGGGGATTGCTCCAAAAAATCCTCTCCTGTGGTACAGGCCATCACACTATCATAATGGCAAGGTAAGGACGTTGTGCAGCAGAGCAACGTTAAACTTTAAAAAACGGGACCAAATCATTGATGGCACATACAGTATGGTGTAACACTTCAAGTTGCATTCTCAGAGGCTACTGGCCAAATTGAAGGTCGGGGACTCTGAGAAGTCCGAGCCAAATTGAATGCAGTCACTGACGGTCTGGGAGGGTGCCACAGAGCCTCGAGGGCTAGGAATCGATGGCTACAGTATACTATAATAGTACTAAGCAGTATGGTAGCCTGAGGCTTGCCACCTTGACGCCTTAATTGGCATGAAAGCGACGCCAGATCATGCTAGCAGCGACATGGGTTAAGCCATTGGCAACTTCTTGAACAACTTAAGCAATTGTCATTTTAGAATAATCAGCCCATTGGCAAACAGCTCATTCAAAGCTGAACTTCTCCGAGTAAAACTTGTGGTGTTGAACTTACTGTAGTGATCGACTTGCTGAGGTGGAGCATATTCATGATTAAAGTTTCACGAGTTGAAAAGGTTGTTCAAGTTCAAGATATAGTTGAGGTTGAACATTCTGTTGGTGAAGTTACCAAGTCCTTAACTTGGCGCCTAATAATCCAACTTCAATAAAAACTTTAAGTAGATCATGAGTCGTGTGTTTTCTGTGAATGCGATAGTGCAGTTCACAGCTTGCCTCGTACGCTTGAAGGCTTGCACACAGATTTTACGGTGCCAGTGGCAGCGGCCAAAGCGGCAGGTGCTGCGCCAGCATGCGGCAGCAGCAACACTAGCAGCAGCAGCGGCAGGTGACCCAGCTGCTCCAACGCACGCAGCAGCGGCAGCCGTCAATGCAGGCGCTGCGCATTCCACACCAGCAATTGATGCTACAAGGCGTAGCAGCAGCAGAGGTGGCGCGCCTGCTCCTCATGCGGATGATCGCCACAGCTGCCGCATCCCTAAGTGCAGCAACAGGTGGCAAGCTCGAATATCTACCGTCGCCAACGCCAATACCACTGCAGCAGCAGCCACCTATGCAGCAGTCGCCGCTGCCAGCAGGTGGTAGCACTGGTGCTGCGGAATCCGATGCTGCTATTAGACGCGATCATCCTTCAGTGCGCGAGCCGTCTTAAGTCATGGCGCGCACAAGCCATCTCCGCACTACTGATGCATCTGGGCGTGCTGATTCTTGTACGGCGTACCGCTACAACGCTTCACCAATCAGCGCGCTGGGTTTCGCCGCTCCTCAGCGGCAACATCCAGGAAAGCTGCCATCTGATTCTGGCGCCGGCTCTCCAGCGCGTGCTGTGTTGCACAGGAAGGCTAACCGCGTGCAGCGCATTGTCGTTTAAGCCAATTGGCACGTATCGTGCAGCAGTCTCAAGCCTGCGGCCACGCTTCACAACCTGCACTCTGTTCCCAAGGATTCCGAGGTGAGCGTAACGTTTGAAGTTAAACTTTCGCTTGCTTTCACTTGACATGATGGCAGCACGTTTTGGTGGCAGAACAGTTTTTTTCCCCGCAGAATGTGCGTGTGCATCGCGCGCCAGAAAGAATGTGGTGACGCGTTGCTTCTCGTTCAGATACAAGGCAAACTTGATGTCTCTGACCGACTTTAAAGCGCAACTGACACACAAGGCTGTCTCTCAGAGGCTCTCTCCGGGTTGCTAGCCCCCCCATCTCTTTAGGAATCAGGTGCTTGCTTGTACAATTGACATCAGTGCCCTGCAGTTGCAGTGTTGCCTGAGGCGCCTCAACCATGCGCTTGCAGATGCCATCGCTACCGAGCTTGCAGATGAAGTAAAGGCGGACCTGCAACAGTTGCCACAGGTTCAACCGTTGGTACACAGCGCACGCATTGCCAAGCACTTGCTCGATTCCGGTCGCAGCGTAACATGCACCCAGTCTTGAGTGGCATGGCATTGCTCACCGAGCCGATGTTACAGTACTCAGCAATACTCCACAACGTACGGCTTCGTTCGATGGCCTAGCCTGGCAGCTGCCAGGCTGGCTGTCAAACGCGCCATCAGAATAGAGGAGGAGACGACAGGCTGCAAGCTGTGTGGGAAGTCGCCGGGTGGCACTCTGCATGGCATTGCGCGGCCGTGTCAAGCGCCACGCGTCAAGGCGCACGCCCTCCCTGGGACACCATCGTCCTTATGATTAACTTCAAGATATCAACAAGTAAAACGTCAAGAGGGCACGCACCGCATCCTGCGGCAGTCATTGTACCTCAAACTTTTTTGGAACGGGACCAGTGGACGAGGACTATACGCCGTTTCTGGTGTCCGCCGGGCCGCCGGGGACTCGCAGGATGGACATCGCGCTGCCTGCCGACGCTTAAAGTTCCCGGTGACCGGCTACGACCGTCACGATCCAACACGTCAACTTGATTTGAATTACCGCTCATGGTGGACGTCACCTGCTTCGAGCCTCAGGCACAAGTGGCGTCGCAGGCGGAGAACACTGCAGCAGACCCCGAGCGTTGCTGCCGCGACCAAACGGCCGCGAAAAGCACTCAATGTATTCTAGGCAGCAACCAAAATTTAAGGCCGCCAAAAGCACCCACTATCCTGGGCCGGGGCAACAATTATCATTAGAATTGCTGAAAAGCTGCCACTTTCAACTTGGCAATCGGGTCATTCAAAGTTTGGCAGCTGAACATCGGGGCGCGGGGGTGGAAGCTGCTGGAGGCTGTGGCAACGGCCCGGGAGTATCATGATGCCAGCCTCAGGATGTCAGTGCCCGGAGGAGCGCGCCGTAAAGCTCTTAAGGGCATCGCCCTCAGGCTGGCGCGCTTACGCTCGGCACTGTCGGCAGCGCTCCACATGGCGTCACGGTACTCTGCAGCCATGGCCGTGTCATGACACCGTGACACATACGGCAGAATCCAGCCTGAACATGGACGAGGAGGACCTGGTGCTACTAGTAGGGGGGGATCTCGAGATGCCACTTGGCACATGGCAGAATCCAGCATGAGGGGGGGGGTGCATGGACGAGGAGGTGCTACTAGTTCAGGGGGATCTCGAGATGCCACTTGGCATCGCGTTGTTTGAGTGGTTGTCGTTGAGACACTTTCAAAGAAGTTCAGACTGCCAGTGTCACACTGTGGCACGACATGTAGATTCCGTACAGTGCAGCAAGCTTAGATACTATCATTCATCTGGGCTTTTTCAAAGTTCGTGCTCTGAGCAAGAATGAATAAACAGTCCTAATCCTTAGGCTAGTAGTCACAACGGTATATACATGTACATATGTATGATCGATTTATGGTGTCCATACTATCATACAATAACTGCTACAACCGTGGACAGATTCACTGTCTCAATTGCACTGCCATGTGCACGCAATATTGCCAATTTGAAATTTTTGATGTTGAAGTTGGACTCTCAGCTGGCAGATGCCGGTCATGATGACGTATTGCCTACCTATCATGATGCAGCCTGAGTATACATGTAGTACTCATAATGATGGTACATCCGCCCTAAAACCAAAGGTGCGTAGAAGCTTCTATGTATGCTTACTAATTATCAACAGTCGTTGCCATGGGTAATACTATGAGTTAGTTTAATATTACAATGTATGTAATGTGATGGTGCAGCATCATGCGCGAAGACACTGTAACAGCTGTACCGATAGTATTGCAGTATTCGAAAAATTATGGGCATCCGCCATGTGTCTTCTACGATGTATGATTATCAATGCTATGGTTATTCACGTGCCGAAGGCGCTGCACTGTGCAGCATGATGAAGATACTGTAAGATTACTACTACATTATATTAGTTAGTTAACTTGTAACAGTAGATGTACTATCAAAGAAGCTTATGCCGTCCGCCTTGTTTCTTCTACAACCAATGTTCCTGGTTATTCACGTGCCAATGGTGCAGCTTGACGAGACTATGGTACTGCGTAATTAACTACAGTACTACGTGATTGTGGTGATGATCACTTATTACACAACTGACCTTCCATTGTCGCAAGGGCCATGTTTCGAGTTGCAGGCCTTCATGCAAGTTGCTCGTATGGCCTAATCGGACAGGGCATCCGCCTACGAAGCGGGGGGTTGCAGGTTCAAGTCCTGCTTCGAGTGCAATTCTCTCTTTTTGCCTGCACTAGGCTCCGCCGTGCAGTTCTCCGGTTGTCATCACGACGGATTCTATATTTGGAAGCCAAGTGCAGACTGGTCTAATCGGCAGGAGCAATGAACCCAACAAGACGGGCTTCGTGTGAGAAGGTTTTGCACCGCTAAAATTCAGTGGTTGTGTGGTGGCAGATACACCACCTATTGCAGCCACGCTACCCCGCAGCTGAAGTGTCCATTCTTGAGCAGAAGCGCTCAGGACCGTAGATAAGCAGGGAGCGAGGCGCGGGGCCACAGTGTGTTGACGGCGCGCGATTCTGAAGCACAGTGAAGCACAGTGCTGATTGTGCGAGCGGTCGCTACAACCGTTCGCTGTCTCTGGTAGTTGCTCGCGCTGCACCAGGAGCTGCGAGGAGCTAAGGCGCGCTGGGCGGTCTCACAGGCGTAGGATGGTGGTGTGGCTGTTGCTGTATGGGCACGCTGACTGCTCAGTGTGCTGGCGCTCGGCAGGATTGGGATGACAGCCTCACTCCGGCCACTCTGCGTGAGAACTTCCTTTGGGGTTGAAGTTTTGGCACTTGGTGTAACGTGTCGTGGCTTTTTTGTGCGTGGCCACGTTATATAGCGGCAAGGCACGACTTCGGGGGTTGTTCGAAGGCACGACGTTGCCATCGCTCGCAGCATGTATGTCAGTTCAGAGTGTGTGTGTCGTGATGGGCTCTGACCCGCTTGAAGCAGGCGCAACTGAACCATGAAGCAGCCGGGCCGTCATGGCATGTTTTTCTTTGAAAGGAGGTGAGTGTTGAACTGTGCGAAAGCGCCTTCGGCCGCACGCCTTTCTGTGCGTGCGGGATCCGTTATTTTGCCGTTGCGGCCGTGCTGTTGCTAAATTCTGTTTAGCATGCGTAACTTGCCCAAATCAGCGTGCTGTATGCTATATGGGGTGTGTCTATTGCTGGCATTTTCGGCAAGGAGTTGGTGCTGGTTGCGCAAGGAGCTTGCGAGGGTGTTCTGGCGTCGAGCGCTTGTGGTGTTGATGCAGATAGTGCGTGCTGCTGGAGCTCGCAGGCATCGCACCATGATCCAGTACAGCGGCACGGCCGCGCTTGTGCGTACTGCAAGAATGTGTGGCACACTAGGTGAGGTTCACAAATGAGCACGCTGATTTGGGCAAGTAGAACCATGTTACGCATGCTAAACAGAAACCAGCAACAGCACGGCCGCAGCGGCAAAATGACGGATCCCGCACGCACAATTTGGCTTGTGGCCGAAGGCGCTTTCGCACAGTTCAACACTCACCTCCCTTCAAAGAAAGAACATGCCATGACGGCCCGGCTGCTTCAATGGTTCGTTGCGCTTGCTTGCAAGCGGTCAGAGACCATCACGACACACACTCTGAACTGACGTACATGCTGCGAGCGATGGCAACGTCGTGCCTTCGAGACAGCAACCTCCGAAGTCGTGCCTTGCCGCTATATAACGTGGCCACGCACAAAATGCCACGACATCGGGCCGTCATGGCATGTTCTTTCTTTGAAGGGAGGTGAGTGTTGAACTGTGCGAAAGCGCCTTCGGCCACAAGCCAAATTGTGCGTGCGGGATCCTTTACAATGATTTGCTCGGCATAAGATACGATTTTGTGCGTGCTGTTTGCTGTTTTCTACTAGCAAGCGTAACACAGTGATTGCCCAATCAGCGTGCTGTATGCATGGGGTCTGTTTTTGCTGGTCGGGAGTTGGTGCTGGTCGCGCAAGGAAGCTGCGAGGGTTTTCTGGCGCTGGCCCTCGAGCGCGATGCAGATGGTGCGCTGACCGAAGCGGCTTTCAGCGTGCTGTTGGAGCTCGCAAGCGTCGCACCAAATTGCATCAGTGGCGCAGGCGGCGCGACGCTTTCGGACACGGAATGGCCGTTTCGGGGTACGCAATGTCAGACAGCTGGTGCTGAATTCACTTGACCAACCGCCCTAGGCTTGCAGCCACACGATTGTGCCGCAAGCCTGCACGCACCAACGCTGTTTCAGACCCCTGACATGTGCAATGAGCTCAGACCGTCTGCAAAAGCTGCGCAGTACTGCGCATGTGGGTCCCGCTTTTTGTAGCTGTACTGCTAGTATACTACTGTAGATGCTGTTTCTTTTCTGAAAGTCATAGAAGTACTTCGAAGTACCATCTGTTCGTTGCCATGTGCCCTCAGGCTTCCCCACTCTGAATGCCATGTGTACACGCGCACGCACACACAAACACTCGCACACACACACACACACACACACACACACACCGTGAGGCACATGCACATATCAAATCATCACAATGTGGTTCCACAGAAGCTACTCCAACTTAAAAATTGACCTTAAAATGAGATACAGTTTTGAATGTTTGAAATTGTAAGGTTGAACAGCTACATTGGTTGAATAGCTATGAACGACACACACGGCTTTGATGTGAGGCGGTTTCTTCATTCCTTATTGTGAGGCCGTGTTCAATAGTATATGATTGCTCCATGTGGTCAGCTAGCATATGCCACTGCTGCCGTGAGTGCTGCAGTACACGCCGAGCCAATTCTTGATACTCCCATGCCCCTGGCACTTCAAGTGATGCCAGTAATTACATTGAAGGTGGGCTAACCAAGAGGCAGGCTCAGTTTGTCCCCTCCATACGACAGGCACATGTCAGGCCCTGAAGGGGGGGGGGGGCAGTGCCGACTATACTGGAAAATGGCATCAAAGATGCCGCCCCTCTCAGACCACACGATGAGCACTGCACACGCACGCACAGCGCCGCTCGGCAAACAGTGGAGTATGTGATGGCGTTGGCGTGTTGGCCTGCAGCTGCTGCAGATGAGGCGACGCAGTTGAGATTTGCACTTCACTGAGGCACAGATATGGGAGTAATACTAGACGAAGGCAACCCACAGGGGAGAGCAAAGTGTGATGTAGAAGTATATCATGTGTACAGATGGCTTTGTGTGCAGGCCGCGAAGTGAACAGTTGACCTCAAAGGTGCACACACAAATGGTGTCTATCAAAAACTGTCGTGGTACAGGGGCGGGGGGGGGCGAATACAGCTGCATAAGCCGCAGCAGTTGGTTAGCAGTGCAGGCTCATGAGATTATAGGCAGAGTGGAAGCTGCCCTATTGGTGGAGCGCTGATGCTGAGAAAAAATGCAGCACACATTCTGGCAGCAAAGCATGACAAAAGCGTCTGGCCTCGCACGGCCAAGTCCTGTGATAACACGATGCGGCAGTCGTCCAGGCTGTATGTACACCAAGAAAACCTGTTGCATGTGTGACAGAATCAGAGAGATGCGCATACAGGCTTGTGGGCCTGAAAACTCACTATAATGCACAATGAATGGTGTTCAACAAATGGCGAGAGGCAAGCAAGCCTTAGGGTGTACCATCACAAGGAGCAGAGGCGCACAAAAGAAACATGCGCGCATCGCCATGTGCCACTAGGTAGAGGGCGGAAAGGGTACTCTCATTTGCATGGAAGCACTGGCTGCACTCAAGTAGCCCCGGTGGTAGCAGACAGATTGGAGATGCTATGCAGGTGTCTCTACACCGTCTGTAGGTGATTGCCTATACCTTGTGCTGGGTGTACGCAGGAGCGATGCCTACTACTTCATGTGATGCCCAATGTATACATGTATGTACACCATGTATGTACTGGCATGTATGTACATGAATGTTTGTACACGAATGTATGTTTTTCTGAAGAGCATGCCAGTGGCACGATCGTCAGAAGAACTCTGCCACGGGTATTGCGGTGTCGCTACACACATCCAAGCGGACGACCAGCTTCAACAGCTCAGGCCTTGAGTACTACCATAGTGTGCCATGGGGCTTGGCTCTCCTCGACTGCTCCCACGAATCAGTGGAGGTGCATGATGGTCTTCATTTGGTCATATATCGTCAGCACAAGCGCCGCACCAACGGTGCGGATGACATTCGCCCAGGCACCCTGCACAAGCAAAATTGCAATTGCAGGTTGGTTGGCCAGGGAGTCAGGTTTTAGCATGCATGCATGCGCGGCACACCGCAATGGATGTGTGACTTTGCGTACACCTATACCTGTCAGTGCAGTTGCACATGAGTGATATGTACTGCCTGCGCTACAAAGAAGGCACATGTCTCCGTCACACGTTCTACTGGAGCCCCCCAAGACCCCATTTAGAGCGTCAACCCACAAAGTGGAGGTTCATGAGTGCCATTTGCGTACAATCAGTGCTTAGCTCAGCGTTCAAGGACCTGAACCCCTCCGCATTCTTGCACAGCAAGATGGTGATGACAGCATGGCAGCAAACCCTTGTAACTCTGAATTGAGAAAGGTGACTACTAAAGTATGAGCGCAGCTGGTCACTAGTCTGCTGGGATGTGGTGCACAGTGAGCTGGTGCCGGCAACAACAAGCATGTGCATGCCCCAGTAGCTGGCATCACTTGTATCGTCATGGGCACCATTCGTTCAAGTTGAAGTCGAGTGCAGTGCGCAGCTCACAGAGCCACTCCCCTCATAGCTCCTCTGGGCATCCTACACCGCCCACCTCTTCTGCTGTTGTTGACATGGCAATACCCTTGGTTGAATATATTTGTCAAGACTAAAGGCCGCAACAGGTGCCAGCTGACCGTGGTCGCGCAGCGCCTACATCGCCTTTTCCGAATCAAGTAGTATACCCTTTCAGGCAACCGACCGCGCTTTCCCGGTGCATTGCCACCTCGTACAGTGCTGAGCAATCAAATCATGACACTGATGTGTCTGAGACTCAGGCTACGGTAGCCTGCAGGGATGCCATTCAAGCGCTCACGAGACAACAGAGCTGATGCAGCAGTCCTCGATGCGCGCATGCAATACACTGGCCAAATATACCCCAAGCCCAGACGGCAGGACACGCGCAGTACGTGCCACCCACCTTGTAGAATGCGGTGAAGCCCTCGTCGTGGTAGATCTTGCGGAAGCAGTCCCTGGTGCCCGCATAGAGCCAGTCGCTCGTGGGCTTCTCGGACTGCATCTGG